AAACTTACATGTAAACAATAAATTGAATTGATATATACCTTACTGCAAAGCTTGATATTCATATAAGTGTGATATTCATATCACACAGTATCGTCGTATTACAAATTGTTGTGGAACGAGTTGCACTAAATAATGGCGGGTAACAAAGTTTACAATCTAACCTTGATTTAACAAAAATAGATGCTGCTACGTTTGCACTTACGAATGGACACTCAATTTTTCGTCAATGACTTATGTCTGTTAACGGTATGCAACCGTACATACAGTTCAGCCTTTCGTCAATAGATACAGCTATTGCGGTCAATGTTACAATTGACCCTCTGTTTCAACCGACACCACTCTCCCTATTTTCTAAAAATATTAAATTAAAAAATTAGATATAAATTGGAATAAAAGTTTTTTTATTATTTGTCTGCGCGCACGCGCACCCACCAACCCCCCCCCCCACACACACACACGCACGCGCGCGCGTAAAAATAAATATAATAGATGAAGATAAATAGTATAGAAATTACTAACCTCTTGGTTAGAATCTGAGTAAATTGTATTTATATGACTTTTATGACGTGGGACTACTTCCATTTGTTGTATTTGTATGACTTGTACGAGATGAGACATTTTTATTTCTGTCATGCAATTCGATATTCTCGTTAATAGTGCGTTGTTAATCTAGACAGTAAAATATTATTATTATTATTATCAATACTCTAAAATTATTGAAACACAAACATGTACATACATATAAACACTCATACATACACGCATGTATATACTATACATATACAATATATAAGGGTAGAGCAAACTTATTCTGATATAGGCGATTAAATTTGTGTTTAAATTAATTTTTATTTAAAAATAAAATTATTAATTTTTATATTAATTAATAATTATTATATTTATTATTATTATTATTATATTAATAAAAATAAAAAAATAATAATATTGATGAAATATATAGACGAAACGTCTATATATAACATCATGTATTAGGTTTCTATATAACACCTGTTTATATATATTTATTAATTATTTTCGCTGATAAAATCCAGCGTCGTGACATATGCTCTTTTTATTTCCTCTTTTTTAATAATATTATTGCCTCGATAATCGAATGGCGGAAACATTCGCAAGAAATACGGGAGATCCAGGTACGAATCCTAGCTTCAGGGGGTCAATCATGAAACTTTTCACGCGAACTTGATTTTACCTAACAATCACGTAATTTTTCCCCTAGAATAAAATCGTGAAAAGTGAAAAAGTTTACAATATTTATAATAACCATTATAAAATACCGTTATTTAACATGTGTAAAATACTATTATCACTTCCTCTTTATATTTTAAATATAAAATTTGGGTTAACACAACAATTTTAATCACTCACGTAATGTTGCGAAGCAAAAGTCACTAGTAAGACAGTGCTAACCACATTGTCTTTCAATATGTTTATCTTTCACTTTTAACCATCAACCAATTTGATTAAAAGAGAAAAGTGATGTACGCGTGTTTCGTATTTTACTTTAGTAAATATCTAGTAACTTTCATGCTTTGTGACCTCATGCGCATGTGCTTTGTTACTCTTCGAGCCAAAGTGTACGAAATTTAAAGATTAATATTTCTATAATTGTTCTGTCGCACATGGGTTGCAACTAAAAGGCATAGTCGAAATCCATAGTCGTCAATTAACGCTTAATATTTCGGTCCGCGGCTTATTTCTGCCAGATTCTTTCGTTGCAAAAACGCGTCGAATAAGCCTAATTTCATCGATTTTTGAGCTGCGGGAGTATTGTATAATTATCTTAAATGAATCCAACACAGAAACAAAAAGAAATAATGCTTCAATGGATGAGATTGCATCCACAAGTAGCAAGAGGAAGGTTACGTACAAAAGGAGAAAGTCGAAAAGAAATGGTATGTATTATATGTAAATTTTGAGAGAAAATATTATTATTTTATATACAATTTTATAATTTTTAAGAAAGACCTATTGGAAGACTTGGCACGTACAATAAACATAGCTGATGTTGGTCCTATGAAAACTAGTGCAGAATGGTTAAAGGTTGATTAATTTCTTTTTTTATCAGACATTGGCACATGTGTACGCACAAAGACACAGATGCCTTGCCATACTTTGTCATGCCTTCCTTCTCACATCTTCTCCCATATATGCGACTTATTCGGATATTATGGCATTTGTGTCTCTGTGTATACCTGACATAGCCTTAAATCTTCTGTATAATGTTTATATAACTTGAATGTTTTGTACAATATACTAAATATATAAATTTATTTCTTACTATATAATAATACTATATATTAAATTTTGTACAATATACTAAATATTAATTAATTTCTTACTATATAATAGTATATAAAAATAATTTTAATATGTTAAATACTTTGGACACAGACATGGAAAGATTGGAAGATGTATGTCCTAAAAAAAGAAACAAAACGAAGAAATGATGCTTTAAAAACAGGTGGAGGATCACCAATAAAGATATCTTTCTCCCCTTTAAAAGAAGAATTATTAGAATTTATTACTCCAGAAGCAGCGGGTTTGCATAATATTCCACAAGGAGGATTTGATGTGTGTGAAAGTATCGTAGAACTAGATCAGGATAATATATGTCTGCAAGAAATACATGTTGAGGAATATGAAAACCAACCCCCACAGAAAAGATTTTGTAAAAACTATCAGTTTTTAAACACTAATACAGGTGTGGGATTTATAACCTCATATACTTATTGTTATGTTTTCTAATTATATTTGTTTAAGAAAGAAGCAGAAGTATTACCTCGCAAACACAATAGAATAAGCCTTAAGCCTTAAAAAATTGACCAATCATAGTCGATTATTCTTCTCACATTCGATTGTGATTGACCAATTCCTTAAGGCTTAAGACTTCCTACATTATTGTATTCGCGAGCTAATAAATTATATAATAAATAAAATTCTATATACATAAAACTAATCCCAAATGTAAATGAATACGTTTTTATTACAGGATTGGCAACACAATCATTGCCGCCTAAGACGGCCCATATTCAAGAACAAATATTAAAACCACGATCATTGTTGCCTACGACGATTCCTATTCAAGAACAAAAATCAAAGACGCAACCATTATCAAATGAAACGATTAATATCCAGAAAGAAAAATTAATCTTGAAGAAAGATGAGTTGGTTATTCAACAGCAACTTTTGAAAGTACAGCCATCAATACTGGTTGAAATACAACAAATAAATAACGTAATAGATACATTTGGTCATTTGGAATAAGATCCCAGAAAATATTCACATCATAGATCTATATTAATAATCATTACTTGAAAGTTGCTTTTGGTGAGACGCTTGAGATACTTAGATTTGATTATAGACTATAGAGTTAAATGTGAGTTCCAGCTAAATCGGGATTATATATATATATTGTTGCATATATTATGTAACAAATAAAAAACTAACTCTAAATTTAATTGCAAGTATAACATGATATAAGTTTCAAGTAGTGATAGATTAATAAAAGCCGTAATTAAAGTCTCTTACATTTATATTTTTAAGTGAATTTTTATTTATATGTTGTCT